TGGGTTTTGAAAAATTTGGACCCTACCGTACGGACAGTCTCTACCAGCCTGCTGTTTACATCATCCACTGATGCGCAGCTGTTTAGCCATTCGAAGCGATTAGCCAATTCGAGTTGAAAGCTCTCGGGGTTTTGGATTTGTGCATTCGACGGTCGAAGCGTTGATTCATCAAACGCGATCTTTCCAGTCTGACATTGATATTCAACATGCCTCTGACGATTCGGTGATCACTTCCTGTTTTAACACTGTTGATCACAGAGACATCGTTGAATATCTGTCTGTTGGTGCTCATGATGAAGTCAATTTCATTTCTTGTTACACCGTCGGGACTCAACCAGGTCCATTTCCGTTGTGGGGCTTCTTGAAGAAAGAATTCATCATAAAGAGTCCTTCCTTCTCCATAAAGTCCGCCAGCATCTGTCCTCTGGGATTCCGCTGCCCAAATCCAAATGGCCCCACTTTCAACTCATCATCGCCTCTACGGCCCAGTTTTGCATTAAATCTCCCATAACAACGGTAAAATGTGATTGGGAGTACGTATGGCCCTACTAATGTCCTCATACGTAGCTTCCACTTCATCGTCTGGATGTGACGTCGATGGGGCGTATACCTGTACAATCTTCAGCGAATACCGCTTTGTGATTTTGAGGACAAGGTATACTACCCTACTCGACACACTTTCGATGGCCACAATGTTGTTTATGAGAGATTTGTGGACGATAAACCCAACACCACCTTGGGACTTCTGTTCTCCCTCCCGGTAGTAGAACAAGTGGCCGGACTGTAAGGTTTTCGTATCTTCCCCCTCTCTTCGGATCTCCGATAAACCAATAACGTCCCAGCGCAACTTGTTCATTTCTTCTTCCAGCTCTATTAGCTTCTCATCCAACCTCAAAGTGCGCACGTTGTATGTCACCAGGGCCAGTTGTCGTTGTGAAGGGGGGTGGTAGCCGGATCTCTGCCGGGGATTCTTAGCACCCCTTGCCCCGCCGTTACCATGGCCGCTACCGTAACCAGGAATAGCGGGGCCGCCGGGGACTAGGGGCCTGGTTCTGCGGTGTGCAATCATTTTGGAGTTTTATTAGCCTACTGGTACCACGCTGGCTAGACGGGTTGGTACAGGGTTTAATTTCGAGTTTTCCTTCTCTCACACTAGTAAATATTGTGTGTTATGCTTTCCCTTTTGTCGCCTCTTACGACTCCCCTGGGATGGTAATGGGGGTGGTGACAAAAGTATTCTAATGCCGTCACCACGCGGCACCACATATATTTAGTACGTGATATTATACTTTTTTGGTGCATTTTTATTAAGCACACAGGGCATAGCATTTTGTTTGCTTAATCGCTTTTTAGCTAAGCACTTTGGAAAAGCGTGTGTTATATAACTTACCTCTTCTACCTTGGCGCAGGGCTTACAATACCCACTATCACCACTAACATTAGGGGTGGGGGACATGAATTTGTGAGAGAGAAGGTTGTCGTGGAAAGAATATTGGGGTGGGGTGTAGTAATTAACATAAAAATACAACTAAATAGATAGGTAGATAGTAAGGTCTTTAATATAAATTGTTATCGCTTATCATGTAAGAATTTCAGTTCGACTAAGCGACAAATACTGGGTGTTAGGAGACACCTTCCGAAAACGAAGACAGATGATAGTACTAGTGACACCTTTGACGATGGGACGGAAAAAAATCGACCCTGATTAAAAAAAAGTCATATTTTAAAAATGTTTTCTTAGCATTATTTAAGCTCCGTCATGTTAGTACGGCTAAACGAAATGATAGTTTCATAAAGAATACATTACTAAAAAAACCCAGCAATGAAACACAAAATCAAAAACAGCTGATGCTCGGGTCAATGAACGCCCGGGCGCGGCGCGGCGCAGACCTGCGCGATCGCACAGATACTTATTTACAGCATTTGTCTAAATAACTCCATCATAAAAGATGTCATTAGTACTATATTCTATCTTCGCTTTCGCTAGCGGTCTCCTAACACCCAGTATATGAATTTGTGTAATAATTATTGGTGCTAGTGTGCTATAAGCTATATGTATGCTTCGGTTCCAAGCAATTTCATTCTGTATTCGGACCGTACTAAAGTTGCGTTTGATAGGAATTCAGTAGGTAAACCCTCTGACACAGACCACTGAGTTTCTCGCCGGATCTTCTCAGTGGGTCGCGCTTCCGATCCGGTGGTAGATTCTGCGAAGCACGCCTCTTGCTAGGGTTCGTGTTAGCAACGTCGTAAGGTTTGAGCCCCGTGAGCTCACCTACTAGTTAAGGTTACGCTGATATAGCCTCTCAAGGCTATCAGCTTTGGAAGGGAAAAAAAAGTAGGTAAATAAATCTGAAAACAAATTCACCACTCAGGCCTCTCAAATTCCGTCGGTTGTCTGGAGAACGCAGGACGGAAAGCGACTGCTGACGGCGCGGCCGTGGCTCTTGTGAGGGACGCGGGGGCCATCCCGCTCCTCGTGTCCAACACTCCGGAGCTGTGTCTCGGCTGGGAGACCACGAACCTACTAACAGGCACCACTAATAACCCGTATTGGCTCAGCAAGACTCCGGGCGGATCTTCTGGTGGCGAGGTTAGTCCTTAGACGTTTTTTGTGGTTAATAGCGGAAGTTAATTATACAGTTTTTGTTAATTACTATTGTTACGCGCTGGGGTTCGGGATAAATAAAAAATCTACCGAAGTATAAATTGAAACTGTATTCAACACTTAGAACACTCACAGATCACTTTCAAATTCTTATTTCACTTTTCCGCTTCGCTTCAGGTGATCCGTTCGCTGTTTCGCTTCGAGTAGTTCCGATTACTAACTAACTTTGTGCCATCTCTGCAACGCTTTTATAGTCGAAACGACATCCCTAGATTTATCGAGTACATTCTGGGCAAGTCGAATAGCTTCGATGTGTGTTTCTGCTATCTGACAATAGATGACGTTATACTCCTCGATTTTACTGTAGCTTCAATATCCGTTCGGCTATTCGGCGATAGATGGCGTTACTCTTACCGTCGTAGCAATATACTAACTCTCCTTCTCAAGGGTTAAAAAGGGTCCCCCTCGAATGACGATTTAGGGACCGACGAGGGAAACTCAAGAAGATGTCGCGTTGATGAACTACATGCGTCTTGCGAAAGAGCTACCGGATGACGGATAATAGGACTATTTAATCCACACTGGTTCTGACCCAGTGAAGTATCACGATGGTAAGAATTGATGGCGCCGTCTAGTAGAGGCTTAGATGTCCTGTCGACTCAGATACCCGTTAGCCGTGGCGTCGATGATTGCCAACTTGAGGTCTCGTGAGGATAGGACACGTTATCTTCTCGTCTGCCTCTGTTCAGTTCTGTCATACCCGAGACGCGAACACGGGTTGCTGACCTAGAGGAGGTTTTAGTTAATCCAACACCGACGCAGTCTGAAGATTTTCTACTTAACCTCCCACTGTGAGACATAAGATCAATTTCTGAATCGTGGCGTACAAAAGCTGCTCCATCCTGCCCGTTTCTGTCGCAAATCATGCTCACTATTCGCTTTGAGATGCACGAAGGCCCTCATTGCCATTCAATCGAGACTCAAATAATTAATCTTCAAGTTCAGAGTACTGAACGATAGGCAGCGGCTTGGCTCTACCCCTGGCATTACTGAAGTCCATGAGCGATGGTCACCACTCACCATCAGGTGGGCCGTATACTCAAACGCAATAAAAAAAAGAAAACATGTAACAGTGACATTACCGTGTTAGTGGTTACGCAATATTTACATTGTAAATAATAGTTAGCTTAGCGTACCCGTGCTAAGAATTTTATTAACAGCGTATGTTTGAGAGGAGCCTCGCTATTGTCAATAACTTGCGTTCGAAGGTCACTTTAGGTTTTATGACGATGGCATTTACGGATTTGGTATGGAAATAATGTATTGTGTGTGTTTCCGCCAACCATAACGGGAGTCGTAATGTCGGTAACTCATCTGGTGCTAGCGCTCATTGTAGGCAATGGCCATTAGAACGTGAGTGCCGTAATCTAACCTCATACTTGAGCTTAAACTCTCAATTGCTTTATATTTCGGCTGTCCCAATCCGCCCCTTCAATTCAAAACGAACGGCTGCTTCGCGACAGCATTAAGCAGGATGGTAGTGACTTACCCGTGCGACCTTACCGAACTATGCGAGAAACGCTAAATGACAAACTTTTTGCTCAGGCCACTCCTCCTAGACTATCCATAAATAATGACGCATTTGGCATGTTATTAAAATAACTACCTATACTTGAATGAAGATATACAATAGGGGTTAAAGTATGAAATTGCCTTTTTATTGTAATAGGTACTTCGAAGTGACATAGAACCTTCATAGTTTGAGATTTTTGAGTGAATTTTTTTTCAAATGTTACCTATGAGGTTTTTCTTAAAAGAACTTCTTAGTTTTAAAAAACTAAAATGTGTAACATTCGATTATCGATTATCAGTTGTTTTTTTATTGGTGCATTTTTTTTATTGATGAAAAGTGGATTCTTGACGATAACCGTAAGCGAAAAATGCAATGGCTGACCCCAGGTCAAACGCCGCAACAGTGTCTTAAAGCAAAGCTTACCAATAAAAAGGTAATGGTAACTGTTTGGTGGTCTCAGCATGGTGTTATTAACTATAGCTTTCTCCGATCTGGTTAAGCAATAACGGCAGATGTCTACTGTGCCGAACTCTAAACAATTATAGCAAAACTTGCAGTGAAACAGCCCCGACTCATCAATCGATCTTCACCATTATTGCTCCATGATAACGCGAGACCTCATACAGCACGAGAAACCGTTTTAACTCTATAGGAACTGCAATTAGAAACCATTCGTCACCCTCCGTATTCGCCAGACCTTGCTCCAACAGACTACCATTTTTTTCGTGATTTGGACAATTTTGTACGTAATTAAAAGTTTTCTTCCCAGAAGCCAGTACAAAATGGTTTCACACAGTTTGTTGTATCTAGATGACCAAAGTTCTATCGCAAAGGCATAAATGACCTTCTTATTAGATGGCAACAATGTATAAATGATAATGGTAGATATTTTGATTAAATAAATATGTTAAATGAAAAAAAAATACGAATTTCAATTTTTCAGTACAAATCGGAAATTTCATACTTTAACCCCAAATATATTAATTCGGTCACTCGCTTCTAAGCTCGCTTATATGAACGTCAAACTTGGGAAATGTGATGACAATGTATTACCGCTTTACTCGTATATAGGCATTTTAAGTTCAAATTCAAATTTGTAAATATCAATTTCAATATCTTCAGGGCATGTATTTTCTGCGTTTTTTTTTTGTTTTAAGTTTTGTTAAATTTAAGAGAATATCATTAATTTTTTTTACCTTGGAATAGAAATTGAATATCGTCGTTGTCAAACCAAAATCTGCTATGTGTATATCTGTCGTATAAAAAAAACTGTGATGTGTCTATAGCTTTAATATTTATCTATAGATTTCATTTGATATAGTTTTTAAAAATTCACGGTCACATAGAATTTTATACGAAAATATTTTTACTCGTTAATTCAAAATAGAGTTTTTGCACGTAGCATATTTTGGTTTGACAGCGACGATATGATATTCACAAAATTGATTTTGAAGTTCATAAAATTGAATTTGAAGTTAAGAACTTATAATCTGCTCATGAATCTCGAAATAATTGTATTGAATTTTTTTTATTGCTTAGATGGATGGACCAGCTCACAGCCCACCTGGTGTTAAGTGGTTACTGGAGCCCATAGACATTTACAACGCAAATGCGCCACCCACCTTGAGATATAAGTTCTAAGGTCTCAGTATAGTTACAACGGCTGCCCCACCCTTCAAACCGAAACGCATTACTGCTTCACGGCAGAAATAGGCGGGGCGGTGGTACCTACCCGTGCGGACTCACAAGAGGTCCTACCACCAGTGAAAAAGTAATCGTATTTAATAGAATCAATAGAATCGTCATAAGGTTACTTGATATTTTTATTTTCAGGCCGCATTACTAGCTAGCGCGGCGTCTCCTTTCAGTGTCTCTTCCGACATCGCGGGATCCATTCGCGTTCCCGCCGCGTTCTGCGGCGTCTATGGACACAAACCTACTCCAGGTAAACCGCGTGCTGGTGAATCATTTTTTTTTATTACGGTTTTTATGACCTGGTAACTAAGACCTTTAAGCCATGTCTTATTTTAATTTATATTCTTATTTTTATGAAAAATGATAATATTTAATGAAATGAAGATTATTAATTTGAGACATTAATCAACTGGGACGAAATTAAATGAAATGAGATGAGATGGTATGGGATGAAATATAATCTCAGTAAAATGGTGGTCATTTACTGAGATTTTTTCAGTAGACTTTTTGAAGGATCCTGAGAAGTTACTTCCAGCTTTGTTTCATTTTCCCATATTTATGCACTTTTACAGATATGAAACAGTTAATAAATCACTGCTATTACACATTTAAACCCGAAGAAACACTAAATAGACAAAATAAAACAAATCACATAACTGCACTCCTCGCGTTCCTGCCAAAAAGTTGCTGGTGAATGAAATAGTTCTGAGACCATAGATAATACGCATAAATTAGTTATACATAAGCAACTCAAGTATTCAACAAAAATGTTTACGGGCGTCGGCCACTAGATGACCTCACTTCGATTAGTTTCCCATAGGAGTAATGGGAGTTATACAGCAGCATAGCATAGAAGCAATGAGAGTTATACAGGAGCAGTTATACGATAATTAAATGCCTTAACTTTAACAACATATAAGTTTAGGGGCATCCGCTACAAGATGTCACTAGTTGCCATACATTTTTTTTTTGTCTTAAAGTATCGCAGTTTCAGAGCCCTGACGGAGGCTTTCGACCCATTCCTTAAGGTCGAAGACAATATTCGTGTTGCGATAGTTATGTTTTTTTGGTAATCATTGAACGCTAGGCGGGTCGTACGCTCTTATATCCACTCACAAATGCAAAAGCAAAAATATTTAGTTTGATAATCAAATAAAAATAGTGATTATTAATTATTCTAGGTATCATCCCTATAGAGGGTCACATTCCGACTCTAAGCGATGAGCAGTTTCCGAAGTTCCTGACGGTGGGCCCCATGGCGAGGAAGGCTGAAGACCTTCCCTTGTTGTTGAACGTGATGGCGGGCGAGAACCGCCACGTTCTGAACCTCGACGAACCCGTCAACATCGAAGACATTGAGGTACATGGTACCAATCTTTAAAGATAAAGAAGCCTTTATTAACATTTGGTAGGCAGCGGCTTGGCTCTGCCCCTGGCATTGCTGAAGTCCATGGGCGACTTTAATCACTCACCATCAGGTATACTCGTCTGCCTACAAGGGCAATAAAAAAACAACCTTAATTCATATTTAGGTACGTTTTTTTTAAATTATTTTTTCAGCCAATCTATACTAATATATAAATCTACAGTGTTTTTACGGATGTTCCGTTATAACTACTGAACCGTGCATCCGATCGATTTGAAACTTGGTATCCATGTAGAAAATACATGTACTTAATCGATATGCTAATATTTATATGGGTGTTGGACTCCCTACACCAGTTGCGGGGACGTTAATGATGAGAATGTTTGTCGGGGTGAGAAATAATAATGTTAATTTTAAATGCCCAGCGAAGCGGACGGGTACAGCTAGTAGTAAATAAACCGAAAACAAATTAAGTATATGAAATTATTTAATTAATATTATTATGTACTTATATGAAATTACTTTGATATATCCTCTGAATCACTTGATTCTGCGCTCTCTGAACTTGATTCAGAATCATCTTGTAAGTTTATAATGATTTCGTCCATCATAGTGTAAAATCTAGTAATGACAGCAAGCGTCCCCACCTCTCCGTCCTACCACACACATACCTAAGGCGCAGGGAACTAGTTCTGCGCGCACTATAGTATCTAGTTACCGGAACACTATGGACGTCACTACGGCTGACCCACTCTTTACACCGGAGAGCTTTATTCTTTCGCGGCAGAATAGTAAAGGGGCGACCTTGGCCGCCTACCATCAATAAACGCAACATCTGCGTCGTTGAGACTAAAAGCGGTTCGTTGATCTCCAACAAAAAATATATATGGAGAAGCCACAATTATTAACACCATCGTCAGACATCGTAGGGGCGAATTGCTAATCGAGCTAAGAGAAATATTGAGTATGTACACCATCACGTTTGTTGTCTTAGAACAATTTAGAAATCTCTTGTCGTTAACAAACGATAACGAATAACAGTTCTTAGGACGTAGGCACCGCTCTTTAAGAAGGCTGTCTCATAAGTGTGATGGGGACTTTTTGATGGGAACGTGAGGAGTGAAGTTGTGTGATTTGTTTTATTTTGTCGTATTTAATGTTTCGTCAGGTTTAAATGTGTAATAACGGTGGTTTATTAACTATTTAGTATCAGTGAAAGTGCACAAATGTGGGAAAATAAAACAAATCCGCTGGACGTAACTTCTCGGGATCCTACAAATAGTCCATTGAAAAAGTCTCAGTAAATGACCATCATTTTACTGAGATTATATTTTATCCCATATCATCTCATCTCATTTTATTTTATTTTATCTGAGTTGATTAATGTCTCAAATTAATCATCTTCATTTCATTTCACTCCATATTATCATTTTTCATAAAAATATGAATATAAATTAAAATAAGACTTGACCTAAAGGTCTCAGTTACCAGGTCATAAAATCCCTTAAAAAATATATGCTCTGTCGTAGCACGAAGTTAGCCGAGCTCCAACGATACTGCAATCGTGCTGCCATCTTTCGGGAATCGTGCTGCGTTTCGTTTACCTACCAAACTAATGACCGTCTCCGACATATCATCTTCTCGCATTCAAACTGTATAATCTCAAAACTTACTAGTTTTACAGGAGAGTGTTTTAAAGGCTTAACATGTGATATTTTTAATAATAATAATCTTTGCAATATTTTATTTTTTATTTTGTACCAGTTACATTATCTGTTTTTTAAAGTAAGATATAATTATGTATTAATTTTGTTAAGAGTATTCAAAACATAAGTAAACTAAAAAAAAAACTAAACTACGCTCTTTTGACAGTATTTATTTTTGAGAAAAATACAAGTATAGATACCAAATGATTCCGCATATGAAATCAATTTCGAATATTTTTGGAACTGTATACTTTTAATGCCAAAAGCCGATATATATAATGGGAACTATATTTTTTTTAGGTGTTCTACATGACGGAAGCCATGGACTCCATAGCCCTGATCAAAGTTGACAAGTGTATCCAAGACGCCCTGCTGGAGGCCGTTAAATACCTGAGTCGATGTGGAGCCACCGTCAGCGAGGTGCGGGCACACTGTTACTTACTGTACTCTCGTTTTTTTTTTGCTTTGATGGGTGGACAAGCTCACAGCCCACCTGGTGTTAAGTGGTTACCGGAGCCCGTAGACATCTACAACGTAAATGCGTCACCCACATTGAGATATAAGTTCTAAGGTCTTAGTATAGTTACAACGGCTGCCCCACCTTTCAAACCGAAACGCATTACTGGTTCACGGCAGAAATAGGCGGGCGGACTCACAAGAGGTCCTACCACCCGTAAAAAAGTACTCGTCGGGTGTCGTTAAAGATGTCTCATTGTCGCACCGGTTTTCATTTCGTATGTGTGTGTTCCGTACATTCGTAACACAGGAGAAATTTCTAGCTCTTCTAATTTTATTACTGGTGGTAGGACCTCTTGTGAGTCCGCGCGGGTGGGTACCGCCACCCTGCCTATTTCTGCCGTGAAGCAGTAATGCGTTTCGGTTTGAAGGGTGGGGCAGCCGTTGTAACTATACTTGAGACCTTAGAACTTGTATCTCAAGGTGGATGGTGCATTTACGTTGTGGATGTCTATGGGCTCCAATAACCACTTAACACCAGGTGGGCTGTGAGCTCGTCCGCCCATCTAAGCAATAAAAAAATAAAAAGATTGATAAATGTCGAAGTATAAAATGTATCATTGCCAGGTCGATTAGAATGGTCTGGATTCGGCTTTGAGGTCTCCCTTTGGAATAATAATATCGACACTTGAAAGGCAAACGTGACTAAGCGACAATAACTGCTTTGTACATAAATGATAGGCAATAAACCATATTCGATGCGCAAATAAATATATTTCTAGGTCTATTAAAATCATTTCAATCCTACAGCTAGATTCGTTAAAATATATTTTTTTTCAGGTATTTCAACTTTAAATTAGTCTACTGTAAAGTTCACGCATTGTCGCTTAGTCACGTTTGCCTTTCAAGCGTCGATATATAATGAACTTAACGTTACTGTTACAGGAAAAATTCAAAGGCTTAGAAGATTCAGTCGAAATATCGATATCCGTGTTTTTCTCGATGAAGGACATCCCTAATATGCTGCAGGATCCGGCCGATCCGAAGGTACACGGAAGTCCACGTATTCTGACGTAATGTTGTGTTTCATTCTAAGTTTTTTTTCTAAAGCAAAAGGTTTTTTAGATATATTTTTATTTATTTATTGATGTACAAAACAAATTACAATCATTACAGTACATATTAGCTAAATCGTACAAGTAGTACCTAGATCTAATCTGGATTGCAATCTAAATAATATGTGCACTCAGCAAAACCATATTAATGTGCATAGCTTTGGCTATTGAAAACACAATTGAATTTACTAATATTGATAACTAGCCATTGTTAAATAGGATATCCTTACACATCTGACAAATCCCCTGAGTCTAGGTTCAAAGATATCAAGGTTATTGTGACATTTAGCCAAATCATTATTCATCACAATACACCCAGTTCTAGTGAATTTTCTAGTGAACTTATAATTTCAATGCATTATAGTCGAATTTCGACTACTACGGGACCACTAGTACATAGAAAAGGTTATGGACTGCTAAAAAATATACAATAATAGGAATGCGGTAAAATAATACAAGATTTTATTTTGTTTTCTTTCAGCGTGAAAAAAATTTGTTTTTAGAAATACTTAAGTGTCCCATCGGCGGAGCGTCGCGATCGTTACAAGGCCTCAGCTTCGCCTTGATAGAGAAGACGCGGCTCTTCATACCGAAGTCGAAAACGGACTTCTACAAAGACAAGGCGGACAAACTCCGGACCGAGATCACGGTGCGTTAAGCTTTTACCACGATGTATGAGAATTGATTTAAAAAAAATAACGGTGCGCCTGCAACTTGGTGCACGTGAATGAAGTGAAACTTCTTTATCGATGTGTAGTATTGTGGCTTTCTTCATTTTTCATTAATGTACATTAATCCTGTATACCGAATGATAAACAGTCGACGTCGCTCTAAACACGTCATTACGGATCCTCACGATCCCTTAACGGTGCTTTTAGGTACCTCGAGCACCGGTCACCGTCCTCATCGAACCTGTTGCTTGCGACGAAGGGCTCGACGAGTGGATTAACCCACACAGCCCACTGAGTTTCTCGCCGGATCTTCTCAGTGGGTCGCGTTTCCGATCCGGTGGTAGATTCTGCGAAGCATGGCTCTTGCTAGGGCCAGTGTTAGTAACACTCCCGGTTTGAGCCCCGTGAGTTCACCTACACGTCAAGAAGAAGCTGAAATAGCCTCTCAAGGCTATCAGCATAGGTAGGAAAAGGAAAAAACAATCACGAAATCATGAAGAACGACAGTTGATAACGCTTAAATATTTAATTCTCCAAGATGGCGTATGTACTGTTTGTTTAGTTTATTATTCTTAGTTCGCCTTATTTATTATATGATTCGATTCTGAATTATGTTTCAATTGAAAATTCAGACCGACTTTTTTCGAGAGTCCGGCAACGACACGAGGTGAATGTCGCGGCTCATCTCGATACACGAGGCGGCACAAGACGGGGCTTTGAGGGCTTTGCTTTCTTATGTGTGATGCAATCTGGGCAAAAACAATTTTTATTGGCCTTGTAGGCCGACGAGCATACAGCCCTCTTGATAGTGGGATAGTGGTTACCGTCGCCCTTGGGCCTCATATATGGCGAGGTTAGAGCTAAGCCGCTGCCTACCTTTGAACCGTGGATTAATTTGATTCCTCCTTCCTTCTCGTGTCGATAATCCTCAATGCTGAAGGTCGTGGCTTCCTCTAATAACCTATGTGCCATTCTTAGCTATCCCCGGCTGTGTTAATTTGATTAGCAGCCATTAGCTTGTTTGTCGCAATATGGTCTTGTGTTGCAGCGGCGGCTGGGCGCGCGCGGCGTGCTGCTGTACCCGGCGCACGGCGGCGCGGCGCACGCGCACGGCGGCGTGTTCCCGCGCGCGTCGGGCGTGCTCTACACCATGCCCTTCAACATCCTCGGCCTGCCCGCCGCCGTGGCGCCGCTCGCCCTCCGCCGCGACCTCCGCCGCGCCCTACCCGTCTGCCTGCAGGTGCTGCACTCTACTCTACTGTGCTGTACTGTACTGTACTGCACTGCACTGCACTACACTGCACTGTACTGTACTCTGCTGTGATGTACTGTACTGTAATGTACTGTACTGTACTGTACTCTGCTGTGATGTACTGTACTATACTGTACCGTACTGCACTGTACTGCTACGTCGCACTGCGGCACGCAATGTATCACAATAGAAACAACTACCGCTAGAGGTCAATGACCTTGTACGAACGGTCATCAACAAATTTGAATGTCTAGTTTAGCAATAAAATAAAATTATGCAAATTCGAAATTCGATAATAACTCACGACGTAAGACTTAGATTAATTTCACAGATTACATTTTCTCTTGTTTTTTTATTGCTTAGATAGGTGGACGAGCTCACGGCCCACCGGGTGTTAAACGGTTACCCATAGACATCTACAAACTAAATGCCGCTTTGATATATAAGTTCTACGGTCTCAGCATAGCTACAACGGCTCCCCCGCCCTCCAAACTGAAACGCATTACTGCTTCACGGCAGAAATGGGCAGGGTGGTGGTACCTACCCGCGCGGACTCGCAACAGGTCCTACTACTAGTTTAAATATATTTTAGCTACGCGCACACGAGTAGGTCAGCTGACGGGCTCAACCTGAGAGAATTTACTGCCACTAGCCCTAGCAGTAGCAATGCTTCGCGGAATTTACCACCGGATCGGAATCGCGACCCACTGAGAAGATATTAGAAAAATTTGTACCCGCCTGGGTTTCGAACACCGTTTCATCGCTACATACGAATGCACCTCGCGTGTTATCCTTTAGGCCACGACGACTTTAAACTCAATTGAAGCTAATCCCACCCCTCTTGTCTGAGCCTTTGCTCGCCCACCTGTCCTGGTGAAACTTAAAAGGCCTACGAGCCACCAGTAATACCTCATTAATAAACAAAAATCTCTTCTCATAATTCCTAAAATTAATTAACAACCGATAAATAAACACAAGATTAAGTCGTAATAAATAAATAATATAACGTTTCAACAGATAATTGCAGCACCGAACCAAGATAGGCTGTGTCTCGCCGTCGCCAAACAACTGGAGATGGGCTTCGGTGGCTGGCGGCCGCCGCAGTGAACACGCAACTCTCTATGTATTCCGTACAGATGAACGGAAAAATAAAAATAAAAACATATTTTTTTATTTCAATTGATCGATTCCTGTGTGCTTAGTGCGAGTTTTTTAACGTTCTCGATACCGTGAAAGTTAACTCGAATTTGTATGCAGTTGGAACAGCGCCCCTAGCGGCAAACGTAGGCAAAACGTTCCAACTCCATACAGATTTGAGTTAACTTTTACGCTATCGAGAACGTTAAAAAATTCGCACTAAGCACACAGAAGCTAAGATGTATTTTTGAGGAAAATTTCATGTGAATGTTGAATTGAATTGTTTTGAAATGAATGTTTCATAATCATTTAAAATCATAATCATATTATTATGAATATATTATAAAAAAAATACTAATTAGTCGAAAGCATTGTTTAAGACCCAAAAACTCATAGTTCCATTATTTCCAACTGAACATTATTTTTGGACCATAAAAACCGGAATTACTATTGTAATTAATTTTAACAATTTAAAAACAAAATGCTAGAATATAATTATCAAATTTAGTCATCGTGTGTGTGTGAAGAGGTACGAGGTATGAAACGGAGTTTATTAAATACCTATAAAACAACAATAAAATTTATTCATATTTCGATTTGAAATATACTCCAGTACAATTTTAAAAACATTAACTTATATTTTGACATCAGTTGAAACGCTAAATTGACAAAAAAAAGTGTAGCACTCGGGTACTGCCGCGGTAAAACTATTGCATAGCATTATTTATCAACTTATGCAATTATAATTAGACAATGTTAATTTAATATTAAAACAATAATAAAATAAGACCACGCTATATTAAACATAAATAAAAGCAAAACCTTAACTGTCCCCTTCACACTCATAAGCTAGACCGCGCGAGAGAGAGATGGGCAGACTTTTCATGATGCGCATGCAGTGTGACGTCACGCCACGAGCTTATTCACAAACACTACACAAGCGCAACATGTGCATGTGTTGAACGCGAGCTGCATGGTAGGCGGAGTGAGGGGTGGAAGGTTTTTTTCGTTACGGAATTTCATGATTTCGGGCTCAAGGCCCACGATAAAATCTATGCAATAGCTTAATAAAACAATTTACTTGAATAGACTCGGCACGTTCCCACCAAAAGTTCTTCAATTTAACAGAGTTGCCAACAACAAAATAATTAACTTATCAACATCTAAAATGTCATGGAAAAAATGTAGTTTTTACCGTTTATGTAAAATGTTTCCAAACATTTTGTTTGTACTATACTTAAATGGTAAATAGATATATACATATATAATTAGTAGACTGTTTATAACCCAAATACGCTATTCTATTGGGGCATTGACGTGAAGTATTTAGAACTTCAAATGATTTTAAAATTAAACCCAAAATAGTTAATACAAATCTGATTTTTCTGAATCAACCTCTTAACGAATTTAGGTTTTAAAAATGATTTTGTATTATTTATATAAATTGTAAAGATGTATTGTAATTTTATAAATTGAAAATATAAGTTCAATATAAATAGCACGATTCTTTTATTGTCAAATATATGCAATTCTTTTAAAGTGCGATTTGAACGTTTTATGCAATAACTATCAGCACTACAATAGCTGACATTTTTTTAGAGAAAATAAATATTTTTTACGTATTTTTTTGTAGTAATGTTTACAAATATCGCTAACAAGCTAAATGTTGGCGTTGTGTTGTTTTTTTTTTAAATAAAGGATCCTGCGATTTAATTATTCTTTAAATGTTCCTTAATATCAGTTCGGTCGCATGACAATCTGAATACTTATATATTTTTCCAATAAAGATATGAAAAGACATCTCTGACAGTATTGCGTGCGCATTTGATACGTTTTGCGTAACAATGTCAATTTCACGCTACAGCAAGAAGGTATAATTATCGTTTGTATAATTTTTATAACAACCTCAAAATGAACCTGTTCTTTTAATATAATAATGGTTTAAATATAATACAGTATTAAACCAACGTGAATATATTAATTTCAGCGAAGCTGTTGACTATATTTGGTATATGGTATGTGATGTATATTTAATAAAATCTTTTTTCGATTAATATCGTTTTTTTTCATTCTCACATATTTTTCAAGAGACTGGCGCTTTGATTAGTATCCATTGTGCGCCTTTGTTTCGTTTCCATTGCGTTCTAATTTAACAGGTAAAATTCCTTTTTTCATGGATCAATACTTTGAATTGAAATGGTGGAGTCATCAGGTTTGAGCCCCGTGAGCTCACCTACTAGTTAAGGTTACGCTGATATAGCCTCTGAAGGCCATCAGCTTAGGTAGGAAAAAAAAATGAAATTGTTTACTTGACGTTATGTTCACCTTCGTCGAAGCCATAGACTTATATAGTAGGGACACGACATATTTTTCTATACGTACAATTGCTTATATAAATAGCATCCATTTTGAAGGCACACATATAAACATATATCTATCTCGTTCTTACTCAGCACTATAACTCGCAGGAAAACAATATAACAGTATTTCAGTGCGTACATAAAATGAAACATGAATATACGTAAATGTCTAATGAGGCCGAAAATCCGCCATGTTTAGCGCACCAAATGTCATTGTCACTTCAGATCAGCCGTTTGTTTTGGGTTGTACATTATTTATTGACTTTGATATCGATTTAATATGATTGCTTATATAAAATTTCTTATTTTATCATGCTACCCCGCTTAAAACAATTTATTTTTTAATTAAAACATATTTTATAGGATCTCAAGAAAGTCGATGCCCCAAAACTATTATATATATCTAATTAAATTCATTATGGAGCACTCATCCGAAAAATCAGACACCATTTTTGGTCGGAAGCTATTGATCATGACACTAATCATAAATACCTCTTAATAAAATGAGTCGGGATTTCGATCCGGTGGTAGATTCTGCGAAGCACTGCTCTTGCTAGGGCTAGTGTTAGCAAATTCTCTCAGGTTGAGCCCGTGAGCTTATACATATCGTCTTTCACGCAATCCATCCACTTTTTTTAGGCCATTTTTTATTAAAGCCTTTCATATTCATAGTTAAAGCTCTCTTATCAACCTCATTGTCGTTTCGTCTCATCACAATATCACATGTTTATACCATCCTAAACGCGCACTTCTTAACTTCTCTGTCACAGGTGCCACTTTCAGACTTCCTCTAATTCTTCCTCGAATTCCTTTCTTTCGATTCTCCAAATTACTCTACAAATAGTTTTGTATCTTCCGATCTTGAAACTCTTGTTTCAACGGTCAACAATTTAAAAGTTTCCCAGACAACTAATTTAAAAACCCATTGTTGAGTTACGGTACCGTGTAAACAACTTCATAATTGAGATGTTTATAAAACATGATTTTTTTTGCCCATCTTTATAAATAAATTAACTACTAACAAATACGTCAATTTGTATTTTTTAAGATACATATCTGATAAACGTGGTTACCAAAAAAAATTTACAACGGCGTGTCGGACTACGCAAAAAGCTGAGAGGTTATCTTTTTTATTTATGACGTACACGGGTGAACGAGCTCACGTCCCACCTGGCATTAAGCGGATACCGCAGCCCACAGACATGACATCGTGCCTGATTACCTGAAGGTACCTTTTGATCTATACTTTCATTGTATAGTAATGCGAAGCTGGTACGAGTAGCGTTATCTGTTGTCAAATAGCAAAAAAACAATTGGAATATCTCTCGAATATTCTAGAACATCACTTCTGTGTTCCAGTTGTATCGAGTGTTCTCGACGTAAGCAATACGAGTCTCGAAAATTTATTAAATGTCTATAGCATAGACAGCATGAGGGGGTGTTCTATACGAAGCGAAGCGACGAACTAATCGCCTCAAGAAAGCAAAAAAGTAAATTGTGACAATGGGCGAGAGAGAGAGAGAGAGAGAGAGACGTTAGATCAGAGCTCTCGGATAATCAAAATTAGACTAGTCAACAAGTGCCATTTGGACCAACTTTTTTCAGCAGTCTTCGAAAATTATAAATGAGGTGTCATTCGATTCGGAATGGCATCTAGATGATTTTTGAAAAAAATTAAGTTCCGTTTGCAAAAATTGTAAAAGTTATTAATAATTAACTAAAAAAGGGAGTAGTTTTTTGCAAATATCTCAAAAACTGATAAAGATCAAATTTGAAAAAAGATTCAAATAGAAGAGAAATTTTCCTAAAAAAAGTCTCGATTCCCGAAACTGTAAGATCAATATTTATAATTTTCCCAGAGGGATGAAAATACGGCCGAAAACGGGTACTCTGGCTTGGACAAGCTACGCCCACTTTGGACACTTTAACAATAAAAAAAATCGAATCATACTAAATATGAAAATAAAAAATTTAAAAAATTCAGACACTAAATGAATAAATGAATGAACAATAATCCGCTTGAAAAAATTTTTTTTAACAATTTTTCATTTAGTTTTTCAATAGTTAATTAATATTTTTTCTGCTTGAACATGAACATTGCAAGTGTGATAATTGTTAAGCTATAAATTTAAGATTTTTTTCCTCTCTTGGAGCGGTCTGCCCTCTGTAATTTTGATATTTAACTAAAATTAGGTAGGACGACATTAAAAAAAGGTGCCATTGAAAACATTAGGTTCAAAAAAGGCTCGATTTATTTTTCAATTTTAAATAAGTTAATCTCTCAGACTGACCTTCTGAGATGCGATACAAAGTAAATTTGAAAAAATCAAACAGCACACGTTAATAGCAACCCAACGATACTTGCGTCATTCGATCATAACTTCGCGTACATACGTGAACGCCACAAGACTTAGATAGCGAAGCTATAAAATACATATTTTATTTAAAAAGTGTTAGACATATTTGTAGAAAGTTTTTAAACGACCTAATCTAAACAGAAAGAAATTCTGTGTGAGTATATTATTGAATATCTTTTAGATGAATGAATTATGTTTGGTATTTTTTCTTTTAATATTATTATTATTAGGACCTTAATTATCTAATAAAATTTGATTGTGAATTTAAAAGTAAAGATACAAACACTATAAATTACATTCTAGTATTTACCTGCATTCAGAATATGATTATATTTATAAGTACTGAACTAACTATTGAGGTCAATTATTAGAT